GCCAGAGACTCCAGCCGGCCTTCCTGTCGGCCCTCCAGAGACTCCAGCCGGCCTTCCTGCCGGCCCGCCAGACCTGCCTCCTTGTCTGTGCTTCCTGCGCCGGCATCGCCGCTCGCCGCGGCCCAAGCGCTGCCTCCGACGTCGCCGCCCTCCGCGGCTTAAGCTCCGCCTCCTGTACCGTGGACGGCCCCCGGACTGTTTTCCTGTGTTTAAGTTCCTGTGTGGATTTAGTTTTGTTTTCTGGACTCTGGCCCTCCTGCCGTCGCCCCTCCGCCCACCCTGTTGGGTTGTTTTTTGTTTGTTTTTGGACTTTTCTGTTGGGCGTCTGGTAGCCGCCCTTTGAGGAGGGGGTACTGTCATGATCCGTGTTTCTGTGTGTTTATTTTTGAGATTTCCTGTGTTCAGCCCTGTTTTCCTGTGAGTCTCTGTCCTGTCCTGCCCGTTGATTGTTTCCCAGGTGTGTCTCATCCCCTTGATTACCCCGTGTGTATTTAAACCCACCTGTTGTCCTTGTCTCTGGTCGGATCCTTGTCGTATGTCGTGTGATGCCTGTTTTCCCCGTGCAGTTCTCTGTTGTTCCGTGCCTTTGATTATCATTAAATTCATCATTTTCACATACATCCTGGGTCTGCCTGCGTCCGCGTCCTCACCTCAACCAAACCACCACATCTTGACAGTTGTTGCCTCTACATGTCTTACTACCAATATTACTATGTTGTTTTTTATGATATGCATATTTCTTAATTCATTTCAAAAGACAAAAAGTAAAAACAAGAAAAAATAAAAATAATAAAATCATAGCATTATTATTGCATCGCTTCAATTAGGACCAAAGTTTTTAATTTCATGATCTATAGTTGCAAAAAAGTTTCTTCCTCCAAAGCTAAAAATGAAAAAAAAATATATATATATTTTTCTTCCACTTCACATTTACACACTACATATTGTTGGTCTACAACTGATCTGTTGTCTTTACAATCCTAGGAGCCATATTTGTCCAGCTACATAAGACTTGTTTAGAGCCATAAAAGGTGAAAAATATATATATATATAAAAAAAAAACAATTTACATTTTTTGATAAATATCACAATAGATCTAAAACAATACCACTGTTTTTTTAGTGTGAATCAGTGAAAGAATATCAATTTATTATAAGAAAAAGGGCTTAAACCAGCACGCTTATTAAATTTCTTTTCAAAATATTAGTTGACTCAATCCTTTTAAGTCAGTGTTACTAAGAGCTGTTGTGTAAGGTTCAGGTTGCAGACCCTGGTCTGTTAAATAAATACGTTCAAGTTTGCAGCTGTCTTGTGACAGAACACTGACATGTTTAAGGGGTGCCAATACTTTTACAATGCACTGCAAGTGGCATGTTTTGAAACACTAGCTTGAATCTGACTAGGGCACAACACAAATTAACCTACTGAAACTCTACTGCTCCCTGCTGGTGTGTTGGGCTTACCAAGTGATTGCTGAAGGAGGAGAACTGAAGACCTTACAGTGCATCATCACTCCCTTTCCTTCCACTCCAGAGTAGTCCTCCCCGTTATTGGTCAGAATCATAGGCTGTAAATCTGAAAAGAACAAAACAACTGAATTTAACTTCTTTAAAAGAGCAAAAGCTGTGTACAAATCAAGATGTCGCTTTTTTCTTTTTAGACTTTTAAACCTGACAGGTTGTGAGATTAGAGTCTTTTATACCCAGGGTGTCTGCAGGTTTCAGTAACTCAAATTTAAGATTTTTTAAGACCTTTTTAATGCCTGCTTGAATGAAATTTAAGACTGAAAAAACTATAAATATAAAGGATGGTTAGAACTAGCTGCATAGCAATAAAGTATAGCAAAAACTGTCAATGTGGCTGTGTTGTTTGTGTATGACTCAAACAGTACTGCCATTACAAAATTTAAGAACTTCAATTAACATATTTAAGGTGAAATAATTTTTTTTTTCAAATGAATTTTAGACACATGGATTTAAGGCTTTTAAAGACCTTTTTAATGTCACCTTGAATGAAATTTAAGACAAAAAAAAAACATATATTGGGGATGGTTGGATGACGTTTGGGCTTAGTACCCAGAATAGAGGTAAAAAAATATAGCTAGCTGATTAGCTGGCAAAGAAGGAATATAGATCTTTGTCACCATTTTTAGGGAGGAATGCAACAAACAAGTTTGTGTGCGAGTGAAATGTTTCCCTGATAGGAAAGTCCCATGTAGATAACAAAACTATATTAAATTGTTCTGCCATGACAAATTTTAAGATCTGTGATTAATGTTTTCAAGGCCAATTGACATTTTTATGAATATAAGACATTTCTGGTCTTAATTTTAGACACATGAATTTGAGACTTTTTAAGGAAGCACAAACACTTGACAAAAACAGCAAAGGCAGCTGCAGGTTAAATGAGGTGACAGCATTTTACAGTTGTCGTATGTGTGTATTAACTACAAATTCTTTTGTGTAAGTGAAATAAATAAGTCGGCAGTCTGGTTGTAAGGAATGCGAACATGAAATGAAAGCAGAAAACAATCCAATAATGAGTTAGTGGAGCATATGCACCTTATCAGTTTGAGCCACAGCGACCTCATTAAAATGCTCCGTCTCTCCTTTTTGTTTGGCGAAGCAGCAGCAAGCGGGACTTAGCATTCAGAAGCTGTCCGGCTTTATTAACTCCTGTGTCGCTGAGCGGAAACTCCACATGGAGACAGAAAGCGCTGGACTGTTTGGTGGGTATTTTTTATCTGCACTCCTGTGCTGATCTTATAGCGTTGAAATGTGCGCAGAATGTAGGGCGAACTTGTTAGCATATAAATGGCGGAGAACAGAATGTTGTTGCTTCTTGTTGGGGGAGCAGCCAGGCTGAGTGCAATGACACAGTCAGCAGACAGAGCTTCTTCTCTGGGCTCCTCACCCCTCTATGGGCATATGTCGGCTCTCCGGCGGTAAAGTCTGACACATCCTCTGGGGCGACAGTGGCTGTGTAGGTAGAATAGTCGTCTTGCGATCGGAAGGTTGTAGGTGCGCTTCCAGCTTCCACCTGCCATGTGTCGATGTGCCCTTGGCAAGGCACTTAACCCCAAATTGGCTACCGATCTGTGTATCGGTGTATAAATGTGAGTGCGAATGGGTGAATGTGACTCTAGTATAAAGCGCTTTGAGTGGTCAAAACTGATTGGAAAAAGCGCTATATAAGTTCAGTCCATTTACCATCCTCACAAAGGCTTTGCAGAGATTTTTTGTTTTACTCACTCATGATCATGATGTTGGCGTTGGACAGAAGGGTCCCGTGTCTGTTGGAGGCCTCACACTGATAGACGGCGCTGTCAGAGGCTTTGGCGTTCTGTAAAAAGATGGTATCGCCGAGCATCTTCCTGTTGGCCACTGGGGAGTCTGCAACGGGGAAAATGCAAATGTTTTACATTATTACTACCGTATTTTCCACACTATAAGGCGCACCGCATTATAAGGCGCATAGAATAGACACTACAGTAGAGGCTAGAGTTACGTTATGCATCCACTAGATGGAGCTGCACTAAAAGGAATGTCAACAAAACAGTCCGACTCCAGTCGGCGAGGAGAGCCGGGACGTGGCCGGACAATGGTCACCTTCTCCCTTAGCGCACAGCATGTTGGTGGAGAACGTGGTGCTAAATGACCTGCAGACGACCTGATTCTAGACGGTCGGTAGGTAGATAGGTCAGTCAAACTTTATTAATAGATTACAAACCAGCGTTCTGACAACTATCCCAGCATGCACCGCGCGCTTCTTCTT